CCCGCCATTCCTGACTTACATCCAGAATCAACTTAAGAACCCCAGGCGTCCCCAATTCAGCCGCTGTTGAAACTGATCAGCAGCTGGTTCCAGGAAGCCCTGGGCAGAGCAGCTCTGCCTCAGGCTTCCTAGAGTCAGCCGCTGGTCAGTTTCAGCAGTGGCTGAATCGGGGACACCTGGAGTGCTGCTGGGATTCTACATGCCTTCCATTAACCAGACCCCAATAAACCACTGGTACAAATTTCCATCCACAAAAGGAGTGTCAGGACTGAAGCCAAACCCCTTTAAAGTATATTTGACCCTTTCCTTTAACTCGTGTTTTTTAGTCCAGGCAGTTGAAACACTGGGATTATGGGCTAGATTTTTCCATAGTCTGGCACTTTGTGTTATTTATATCAGTAGAAAGTGGGTGTAAAATGCTCCCTACCTATGTGCATGCAATCAGACAGCAAGACATCCAGGCCTGGCCAAAGAGTTTGCGGTGCCAAAGGCGACATGTTGTGGTTGGCTGCACTGCATGGCTGGGCAGCTCCCAGACAGGGCTGCGAGTGAGCAGCCAGGTGGGCGGGCGCCATGCAGCACAGAGCCCTGAAGGCGCAGGGCCCAAGGCAACCGCCTTGCTTGCCTTGCCCTATGGCCGGGCCTGAAGACATCTTTATGCAGCTGTGGCTAATCTGTGCTTTGTCTAGGCTGACGCCGCTGCCCTTTTCAGGATTCCGATAGCTGAAATGCTGGAGATGCGCCTGTTGGAGCCAAGTGTGTTTTAGGAGACTTCTGCACAACAGCAAGTCCTCTCACAACAAACCTCTCTTAAGTCACTGTTTGGAGATGCAACCTAGTTCCCTGCTGGAGCACTTTGGTTCACGGCATAGTACACAGGGCCCAATCATCTATCACCCTGCACCTGTGTAACTCTTTACACAAGTACAATATAGGTATACAGTTCAGGTTTGGTAGCATTGGACATTCACTTTGCACTGATGTAAATGATAACCAAAGGTGCTGGGCAATGGAGAATCCAGCCCATAATCTCAGAGCGCCTCAATTACTTGGATTCACTTATATGAGTTAAAGGATTAGGGCTAAAAGTATTTTTAAAGGGGCTTCTGTCCCGCCATTCCTTTTGCGGATGCAGTTTTGCACCAGCAGTTAATTAGAGGCATGGCTACTGCAAGCATGCAAGCTAGCATTAGATATCTAACTACCTGTTTTCTACTAATATGAATGATTACACAAGTACAGGGCAGGAGAGATTCAGGCTCTATATTCTTTATTCATGCATATCTCTATGTTTGGAGATGTACACCCAAATGATAGACCCTCAGATAATCATTGTATATGCATGTATAAAGAACAGAGGGCCTGAATCTCCATTTCTCTGTACTTGCATAACCATATATGTATATAATCAGGAATAAAATGTACACTCATTGGAGTTTTAACAAAGCAAAATAACTCAGGGTCTTGGTTAAGAGAGCTGAGAGATTAAAAAGCTCAATTTAAAAGTGATCCAGGGAGGGAAGACAAAAGAAGCTGAAACCTGGATCAGCCCCTAGTAACATACAAATCATAACAACCTACTGCAGAGGGGTTTAATGTATTGGGGTTTTTAATGAATAATAAAATCATGAGAACAGTAATGTGTGGACCAGCACAGAACATTCACTTTTCATCCCTTTCTCATGTGCCTCTTTGTTTATTCATGCAGTGCATGTACAATCATCGATTTAATATCTGGAGTGGCTTGTTTCAAATTGTGTGTGTGGTCTTAAGTAACTAGGACACCAATGGTTTGGGTTGCGGGTTACGGGTCTTTCCACCTGACTCCTGTGTTACTATGCTACTAATACTCACATTTAAATGCCTTTTTGTCTCCCAAAGCAACTCTCATACTCCTGATTTTATCACTAGTCTCACCATACTGGGTGTTTTGCTTTAAGTGCCAGCTCCCAGAATCGTGTGAATCTGAGACCTTGTCTTCACTCTGTGGAAGATCGACGCTGCCACCATTGATGTTCCAGAGTTCAAATTAGCGAATCTAGTTAAGACTCACTAAATAGAGCTCTGCCAGCAGCTGGTACTCCTGCTCCTGTGAGGAGTAAGGAAGTCAACAGGAGCGCTTGCTCCCGTCAGCCTCCCGTTGTGGGAATGGAGCCAAGCTCGGCTTAAGGTAAGACGACTCGAGTTGCTTACCTTAAACCAAGCTACTTTAAGCTAAAACCTGGCCTCAGCTTCTGTTTAAACAAACAAACAAACAAACATGTCTAGTCCTTGTAGTGGGAGCAAAGCTTGAAAATGTGACTCCAAAAGTCTCAAACACAAAAGGGCAAATCAAAAAGAACCCAACATTTTAAATCTCTCATGTGTGAAACCAATCTCATGATTCAGGGGGTAAAGGGGAAGACTTGATTTCTCCATGTGTGAGGCTGGCAATACTGTGTGGCTGTGTCTAGACTGGCAAGTTTTTCCGCAAAATCATCTGCTTTTGTGGAAAAACTTGCCAGCTGTCTATACTGGCCACTTGAATTTCCGCAAAAGCACTGACGATCTCATGTAAGATTGTCAGTGCTTTTGCGGAAATACTATGCTGCTCCCGTTGGGGTAAAAGTCTTTTTCCGAAAGACTTTTGCTCAAAAGGGCCAGTATAGACAGCAGAGATTTCTTTTCTGCAAAAAAGCCCCGGTCGCGAAAATGGCGATCGGGGCTTTTTTGTGGAAAACTGCGTCTAGATTGGCATGGACTCTTTTCCGCAAAAAGTGCTTTTGCAGAAAAGCGTCCTGCCAATCTAGACGCGATTTTCCAAAAATGCTTTTAACGGAAAACGTTTCCGTTAAAAGCATTTCCGGAAAATCATGCCAGTGTAGACGTAGCCCATGATGCGGAAGGGAGGACCCTGTTGGTCCTGTTCATAGGACGGTTCAGAGAGGTCAAACCAAGACTTATGCTTTGAGGGCCCCCCCCCAGTGATGGCTGCTTTAGCTGTCCTATGGATGGGTCCTGCGGGACCCAGGGCACCCTGGAGGGTTGTCTGGGGGGGTCTGGCATGGGGCGGCCAGTTCCTCTCCCTTTCAATTTAAAATTGTTCCTATTTTCTAATGTGTCTATGAGGGTTTTTTCCCCCACCAATGGGGCATCCACGGTTTCCCTTATGAGAGTATTCACCAAGCCAGCACAGCTCACTGCCGTTGAAGTTTTCCTGTTAATCATCCCATGTGGTCTCAGTCTTACTTTCATCCCATGCCTCTTTTATGCTTCCATGTGCCACCATAAATAATTCCTCCTTCACCAAGCAGAGCAAATGTTTTACTTCTGCTCCCAGGCAGCCCTTCCGTTCCTGATCACTTTTGTGACACTTCTGCAAACAGCCTCCAATTCCTTCATATCTTTCCTGCAGTATCTTAGAGTTGCGTCAGAGTTGAACGGAGAGGGTTTATACTTCCCTGCACCACGACAGGATGCTTTGGCATACGCAGCATGCCAGTTGTTTCTGACAAATCCAAAACGCCGAGCAGGAGTTTAACACCCGTATATTTGCCAGTAATTACAAGAGTGTGAGCCATGCATTCCTTTCCTCTGCAAAAATACGGATGCACACAAGAACTATGTGGCCCAGAAAGAGGTGCCGAGTCAGCATATTCCTCACCACGGGATCAGGTTGTACGGAGCAGCTGGCTCACAAATGTGCAGCAAGCCAGAAATTGGCAGGTGAGCAGTGCACCAGCTCTAGGGATTCTGGCCCACCACATGCATGGACCCTTCCTACATGCTTTCCCTGGACCCTGCTCATCCACATCAGCATGGCCGGGCCCAGTAATGACTCAATAGGCTTATACACTCAATAAGCTTATGTCTAAGGCACTTGGGTCATGTGATAAAATGAAAGATGAGACTCTGATGTTAACAAAAATAAACAGCTCGCCCTCATGGATGCAAAGTTCGCTCCGAAGTGTGACCGATGCAGTCATTCCTGCCTGAGTCTGCAGGCTGCCTGAAACCAGATGCAAACCGAGCCCTGCCTTTGCATGGTGGGCCCCATGTATGGAAGCACACATATGCTGGTTGCTGGGGTAAATACTAAGGTGCTCCCCTGCAGCCACTCCTGAGGGATAGAAAGAGGCTTGTACCTTTGCTTCTACAGCAGGGGAGGGGATGACTTTAC